CAGCCCTGGCGTGAGCGTCCAAGCGGGCGCAGACAGGACCCGCGCCCGCCCTGCGTGTCCGTGTCGGGCTGCGCTGGCCGTCGCGGTCCCCTGCAGCCGCATCCCTGAGCGAGCTCCTCGGAAACTTTGCTGGCCTCTTCTAACCTGAGTCCTTTCGCCCTGCCTCCCTGCCCTCCTCCCTCCTACACGGGCCCTGCTCAGCCACCCCAGGCAGCTGCTCTGAACCTTTGGCCGCGGGGAAAACGGACCAGGCTTGAGCTGGTCTTCATGTGGCTCCCTGGCAGCTGAGCTCCTGGAGGAGCATCTTGTCAAAAGGCGTTTTGAAAGTCTAAATATGTTGTGCGCAGCTCGCCTGGCCCTCTGCTGCCTGCAGGTCAGAGGACCCCGAGGTTAGGGGGCATGGGGCGGAAGCCGTGCTGGCTAGCCCCGGGCAGGCTGTTGTCCCCTGGGGGTTTCGTTATACTGGTGCCATGATTCTTTCAGCCAGTCCCCCGGGGTCTGATGTTACGTGGGCTGGCCTGTCATTCTTAGGGTTTCCCCAGACCTTTCGAAACACAGGTGCAGTGTTTGCCACCCTCCGGTGCAGCGGGTGATTCTAATGAGACATCTTCCCCCTTTGAAGACAGACAGGCTACAGGAGCTCTGGGCTATTGAAAGGCATAGCCCTGCGGGTGCTCAGACACCAGATAATCAGTGCAGGGACCAGAGTGCAGGGGCAGTGCGAGGGGCTTGTGCAAGGGCTAGACTGGCACTGAAGATCTAGGCACCGGCGAGCTGTGTGGAGAAGGCAGCAGGGCAGGGATGGGTTAGGAAGCGCAGTCGGTTTTGCTCCATGGAAAATGCAGCTCCTATGTGTGTGCGCAGTGGCGAGGTGACCTTCCCTGCTCGCATGCAGATCCAGAGTGTGCAGCAATTCCCTGTTTCACGGTTGCTTCTGTGTTCAGAGTGAGGCCATGGGTCAGGAGAACTGTCCCGTGCTAAGGGGTGAAATGGCGGGTGCCCACGGCAAGCAGCTGCGTAGCCTGGCTTTTCTTCACCCTGGTCTGGCATTGCTGCACCGATTAGCCAGACCCCGACTCAGCCAACAGGCGCCATGCACCCACGCCTGTCCACAGTACATGTCACAGGCATGCTGTGAGCCCCAAGTGGGTCCCCACTCCCAAGCCAAGCAGAGCTGGCTGGGCGTCCCCAGGGGAGACCAGATGCTGAAGGAAGTGACGTTGCTGAGCCAGGACCTGGTGACCTTCCTCCAGAGCCAGAGACCAGGCAGCGCTTCCGCTGGGCCACAGCGCTTTGCTGCGGGAGGTCTCACCTGTGGGATCACAGGGGAAAGGACCCTCGTGTCCCGCATGTCCCTGGTTCATAACATGCCTGGCAGACCCCCAGCACAGAGAACTGAGCTCCCCAGGCAGCCTCCCAAGACAGCCTCCTCCCCAGAGTGCAGCCACTCTGCTGCGTGGTGTGGTGTGGTGTGGTGTGGTGTGGTGGTGCTCTCGGCAGCCAGGCCCCGCTCCGGAGGGGGCTGCATTTCAATGCCAGGGAGGCGATCCCTGTGTCTGTAGCACACGCCCTTTGGGAGTCCCAGCCACCCACCGCCGGGACCGAGAAGGGACTGTGTCGTGTCAGGATAAGCAGAGTAGACCAGGCAGCTGGGCTGCAGTAACCAGCCTCATGCTTCGGGGCAGAATCTAGGTATGGGCTGCCTGCTGGGGGCCGGACAGAGCCCACCGCTCGCACCTCACAGCACCCGCAAGCTTGGCCCAGTCCCTGTGGAGACAAGCAGGACCCATCTGGGGTCTGGGGCAGTCAGCACGTGTTCTGACCTCTTGCTGCTAGGGTCAGTTTGGGATAGTCTGCCATTGCAGCTCCAGGCGAGAGCAGGTGTCTCCAGTTTAAATATGGAGCAAGTCACCCTGCACTGAAAGAGGAGAGTGGGGCAGGACAGTGACAGCTGAGCAGGGGGCTGCAGCCAGTCCCACGTGCCCTCAGTTCCCCAGCTGCTGTGGGGAAGCAGCACCCTGCTCCTGCCCTCCTCCCTGTGCTGGTCCTCAAGGTCACAGAAACAGTGGAGGGGCGGGGGAGCGAGATGGGCCTGGCAGGCAGCCTGCAGAGGCACCCGTGCACCTGTGTGCCAAGCTGCCAGGAAGAGCAGGAGCCTTTAGCCCAGCACCTTCTCCCAGCTCCTCCCTCTGCTGCTCTCCAGGTTAGCAACGGCAGCAGCTTTGCAGCTTCCTGCACTTCCCCAAGCCCAGGGCTGCAGGCCATGAACACACTGCAGAGAGGACAGGGCCAAGAGGACACGTTTGTCCCTGGCCCGGACTTTGCTGGGTCTCTGCAAGGCGCCGTGGGCAGAGGAGTACAGAACTCCTCTCCCTCAGTATGTAGGTTCAGGACCCTGGTTACTGGGACGGGGGCAGCCGAGGATAGAGAGGCCCGAGACGTGGCCAGGGCTGGCCCTCTGCTCTCTGCCAGGCTGCTGCGTGTCTCCTGGGATGAGCTCCCGTCCCCCGGACACACAGAGAGTTGTGTGTGGACAGGGATAGTCTTTGTTTGCCACCTCCAGCCCGGCACAGCTGGCTAGAGCCGCGAGATCAACACAGGATCTCAGACCCCGGGCAGGATGCCCTTGCTTCAGCATAGGGCATCCTGTGTCCGTCTCCACAGCACCGGTTGCCCAGGCGCCTGGATTAACTGTTCTCTGCCTCTTCCGCACTCTCACCGGTAATTAGCCGAGCTTCCCTAGGGCCCAGCTGGCAGTGGTGTCCCCTGCCCCTGCGGGCACTGAGCCAGGCCCCGGCTCAGCCAAGCCCTTACACTTGTGCTTAGCTCTACCCCTCTCCCAGCTCCCCCTGACGGCACACGCAATGTCAGATCCTGCTCAAAGGCAAGCACGCAGCCAGTGTTTGGGGGCAGAGAAGGCCCAGGGCACAGGCTTAAGAGTTGGCGTGAGTTACGTGCTGTGCCGAATGGGCCGTGCTGCCTGCCTGGACGACTGGGGAGAGGGGAAAACTCGCCAGGGCCAGGGCCAGGGCCATCCCCATCCCTGGCACCAGCTCCAGGGAAGTCCCGCTGGGGCCCACCCTGTGTGAGTGCCCGGGCAGTGCAGACACCCCCAAAAGCTCCAGGCCTCCCTCTCCGCCCTGCTCGCTGCGCCTTGCTCCGAGGCAGTTCCCACATGCGAATGCAGGGGCAGAAGCCCCAGCCCTCCCTCTGCAGCCCAAGGAAGGAGACAAGCCGCCAGGTTTCAGAAGACACTTGTGCTTTTTTGTTTTTATTGTTTTGTTCCTGCAGACAGACATGCCCGGACAGAGCAGAGTCTTGTCTGGGCTGAAGCAGTGTCAGAGACAGTGGCAAAGATGCTCTCTTGCCCTGACAAACAGCAGTGTTCAGTGCAGAGGCTGACTTTTGTTAGGTTTCTCTTTTGTTTCTTAAATGTAAAAAGAGCAATAAAAATGTTCTGCACTCGGGCTCTGGTGAGAACAGCACTGGCAGGTACTTGGCAAAGGAAACAGGGCAGATACAAAACCAAAAGAAAAGGCGCAACTGAATATAACAATGGCTCCATGTATACATATTTATAGAGAGAGATAGAGCTATACTGTATATCCTGTGTACACGTATGTACATACACACTCATTGGCAGGTTGCAATCCAGGGGCAGTGTGTGCAGGGAACAGAAATAACGGACAGTCAGGAGATATTGCAACAGTCAAAGACCTTTGGCCACAAAATTGTTGCTCTCGTCCCCTCCCCTGGAGCAGGAGACGGTGGCAGGAGAACCTGCCTCCCCGCCAGTCCCCCACTGCTTGGCATCGTAGTTGGCACATGTGATGAGACCCAGGGGGAGGGCAGGGGGCAAGCAGCTTGCATTCAGTTCTGCTGGGCAGCAAGACGCCCAAAGGAGTGGAAGCCACACGACAGTCTGGAGATACCTAGCACATTCATGTTGTACGTCTGACTGGTGACAATGTGAGCCAGGGCCAGGCAGGGCGCAAGGGCTGGGAGGAGATGCAGAGCCCTGGCCAGGAAGCTACGAGGGTTCAGGGCCAGGAGGCAGACAGGGCTTTCTGGAGGCAGCTTCCCTCTGCAAATGCCTCGCTGTCCCCACTCTCCTGGGTCTGATGGTGTCTCCCGTGGCAGCGAGAGCGCTGGGCACCGGTGCAGATGGCCGTGGCCAGTCTCAGCTAGAGACAGGATGCCAGGGAGTGCAGAGGGCCTGGCATCGCCCGAGGCTGACGGGCAGCACGGTGGGGGGCACAGAAGGGCCTGGCACTCCACCCATCCATGGGGGTCCTGTCCAGTGCTGCTGCTGCCTGGGGTAGGGCCTGGCAGCAGGGGAGAAGGGGCCTTGGGTTGACAAGTGAACCTCCCCCACCTGTGCTGTGGTCTGGTGGGGGTCCTGGGCAGGTCCTCCCCTGTGCCCAGAATACCCCGGGGTGGGAGGCTTCCAGCATTACCCCCGATGACACAGCCCTTCTCTCCTCGGAGCCCCCGAGCTGCGCGCACAGTCGGGGCCAGAGGCTCAGCACCCCCGTGACTGCCACCTGGCAGATGGGGATGCAGAGGCCAAGGGACTTGCCCAGGCCACCCGAGGAGCCAGTGGCAGAGGCAGGCAGAGGACTCAGGAGTGCCGGCTTCCCACCCCCTGTTCCTGCGCCATTCCCCCTCTCTCAGCGGTGTTTAGGAAGGGCCCCCAGAAGCCGGGACCCAGCGAGAGCCCTGGGACAGCGGGTTCGGACCCCGGTGGCTGCCATGGCAGTAAGATCTGCGAGCAGTAAAAAGCAAACCACTGGCCACAGCCCGTGTAGAGCAGGGGCGGCTGCAGGTGGGGGAGGCATCAGGACAGCCTCGCTCCAGCCGCGGGAGAACGGAGCAGCCGCAGGGGACGCGGGGGCGACCCGGCGGGTCCAACTGGCAGTGTCGCGCCTTGGCAGTTACAAATGGAGCCTGACCGGGGGCTTGGAGGAGCGCTCTGCACCACGAGCCCTGCGCTGCTCCCTGCTCGAGGAAGGCAGGGAGCTGCCTGGGTCCTGCCCGCGCCACCCAGGCGGCCCCTCACAGCAGTGCCCTCCCTGCTGGCCCCTGGCCCTGCCTGCCCCCGCGAGCTCTGTTTTACTGGTGTCTGCCCAGGACTTGCCATCTGAAATTCCCAGGGAAAGACCCAGGAAGACTTGGGCTCCACGGTGGGCTCAGGCCAGAGGCAGTGGCAGCAGGGCACAGGCCACCCACCCTGCCTGGCTGCAAGAGCTAGCCAGGGACCAGCCCCGCTGCTTTTGCAGCCCCCATGAGCCTGAACCCCGTGGCTGGCACTGGCAAGTGTCCCCAGGGCTGGGGCAGGGCCTGGGGGGAGACTTACACACAGGAGGAGGATGCCAGCTGCCTCAGACCCCCCTCTCCTCCTCCCTGGCAGCTCTTGCTAACTGAACTGCCTGCGGGGAAACTGAGGCAGCCCTGGGGAAGGAACCTGTCCACAGGGTGTCCCCTGGAGCCGGGACTGGCACTGGCACAGCAGGCCTACGAGCAACCTGGCCCGTGCTCAGACCATGCCACCCTCCCCCAGCTCCTCTCCACCACTGCCCCCAGGCCGTCCCATCACCGGTTGCTCTCAGGCCTTGCTCGAGTGAATTCCCCCCGGACACAAACAGGCCCCAGGAGCTAGATCAGCTGCAAGGGCTGGGGCTGGGGCTGGACGGTCTCTGTACGACTAATAATGCCCCTCCTGCCTGTCCTCTCCACCAGTGCCCTGATGCCCTTGGGACTGCCTCCGCCATACCCTGGCCCCAGCCCTGGCCCTGGGACACGTGCTGCGCGGTGCGTTCCCAGGACACGGAAGCTCCCAAGGAAAGCCGGGAGCACTGGCCAGGCGCAAGGCCATGAGCCCCTCCTTCCCTGCAGACAGCCTTGGCCCACCTGCCTCTGAGAGGCACCGGAGAAGAGAGCACGCAGGCCATCCCCGTGGTGCCCCCAGTGCTGCCGGGCAGCTCTCCCTGGCCGCCCTGGGAATGGCAGTGAGGATGGGGCTTGCCAGGGGCCGGCCGCAGCGCTCGGGCAGGGGCAGGGGCAGGGGCAGGGGCAAGTCCACAGCCTTCTGCACACGAGGAGGCTGGAGCAGCCTGGGGAGGGACTGGCCCATGGTGGCAGGAAGCAGCTCCCAGGGGAAGGCCGTGGAGCTCCATGGGCCCCTCGGCCTTGGATCCCTGAGCGTCCCCCCTGGGCCTCACCAAATCCTGACCCAGCAGCAAAGGCCCCCAAGCACCAGGGCTGGGGCAGGAAGGCTCCCCGCTACACCCACCGCTGCCCTGCCCTGCCCTCTCCGCGCTCTCCTGCTCCCCAGCCCTCTCCACGCTCTGCCGCTGGGCGTTGCCCCTGCTCCCCGCCAGGCCACAGCCTCTCCACAGGCCCTGCCCGGGGGTACTCAGACCCCTCCTGCTTCGTGGCAAGAGCTGGGCACCGGCTGCCCCGGGCCTGGCGCAGGGCGGGCTCATGGCGCTCAGCCGAGCTCCCCACCCTGCCCAGCGCCCCCGCAGCAGCTCGCTGCTCTGCCCCCGCGCGGCACGCGCCTCACCACGCCCTGCTGGCACCGGGAGTCCTGGGGGGTCCGGGAGATGGAGGGGTGCTGGGCAGTTCTGGGGAGACAGACATCCTTGCTCGGGAAGCACATCAAGGGGTCACGCTGTACAGGGGCAAGTGGGGCGGGCAGCTACTTGGTGCCCTCATCCGGGTTGCCTTCGCCGTCGGTCTTGCCCTCCTCCTCCGTCTTCTGGTCGTCTGTGTTGAGCCGCTGCTGCTTTTTCCTCCGCACGCACTTGACAATCACCAGCACCAGGATCACCACGGCCAGGAAGCCGCCCACGGAGGCACCCACGATGACGGCCACCGTTGAGTCGCGCTTTGGGGGCTCTGCGGGGCCAGGGGAGGCTGCGTAAGGCTGGGTGTGCAGAGACGGGGCAGCTCCGCCGGTGCCCCAGGCCCCAGGTGGGCAGGGCCCAGCCCTGCGCCGCCCTAGGTGGGACTCTGCAAGGGGGATCCATGCCAGGCCCCACGGAGGGGCTACAGATGGCAGCCAGGGCTGGAGCTGTGGGAAGCAGGGCCTGAAGACCCTGGGAGAGCCCCGCAGGGAAATCCTGCTGCTTCCCAGACCTGTGCGCCAGGCAAAGGGTGCCTGGGACCGCGCCGCGAGCACCTGGCTCTCTCAGGTAGACGGGCGGCTGCTCAGGGCAGCTGCTTCCTTGGTGGGAAGCGCCAAAGCAGCCAGCCAGGAAGGACCCTGTGACCTGGAGGGCTCTCGGCTCCCCGCGGGCCACGCACTGACCTTCGGTGAGGACCTTCAGCTGGATGCGGCCGTGGCCCCGGTTCCGGTCCGGGGGGTTCAGCACGTAGCAGTTGTAGGTGCCCTCGTCCTCGAGCTGCACATCCCGCAGGGTGAAGGACACGTCGTACTTGCTAGGGTTCCCGGTGAACTGCACCCGGTCCCCAAAGCGGTCCAGCTGCTTGTTCATGATCTTCAACCGGAACTGCAGGAACTGGGCAGGGCAGAGCGGGGCAGGGGGGAGATGCTGACGGCCTGGCCCCCAGGGCACCCCGGGGGCAGGAGAGACCGTGCCGTGGCTCCCTGCACGTGTGGCATGAGCAGCGTGAGCCAGCCCAGCTCGCCTGGCCTGGCAGCCCCGACACTCCCATGGGGCCCCTGCAAGCTCAGCCATGCGGGGCAATGCGAGGGGGCTCGCCCCTGCGCCCGGGCCAGGGCTGGAGCAAGGGCTGTAGGCATGGCCAGGCAGAGGGTGACGCAGGCCTGGACTCCCGCCTGCACTTGGGCCCACTTCAGAGCCCCGTGGCACCGCTGGGCATGCAGCGCAGGCCCGGGTCCTCCCTCCCCAGCCTGTCCCCAGCCTGAGCCCTCTGCCTTGTGTTCAGCCAGCGCAGCCTCTGCCAATTCCTGGGAGAGGGGCACGTTCCCCTTCCTTTCCCTTCCCTTCCCAGCACGTGTGCCCCCATCCTGGCCCTGGCCCCAGCCTGGTGCTCACCAGCTCCTCGGTGCAGTTGTCGCAGACCTGGTACGTCCAGTTGAGGGAGAACTGCTTGTTCTCCACCTTGTAGCAGGAGTTGAAGGTGCAGGGGAGGCGCACGGAGGAGCCGTTGAGCGCGTTGACGGTGACGGGTGCCATGACCTCCATGCCCAGGCTGGGGGGCGCTGCGGGCGCGGGAGCAGAGACCAACATCAGTCAGTATCGCCAGCGCTGGAGCCTGTCCAGGTCCCCTCCCCCCAGGAGCAGGTTTGGCAAGTGGCAGGCAAAGCCCAGCGTGGCGAGGGCCCAGCTGCGGGCACAAGCAGGCCCAAGTGAGCATGGGCCCTGTGGGTAGCAAGGCACCTGCTGGGGGCACTTGTGCAGGGCAGACACGTGATGGAGCAATTGCCCAGGTGAGCAGCGCCTGGACCAGGGCCGCGGGCCCAGCACAGCAGCTCCTGGCTGCCCCGAAGACACCTGGCCTGGCTCTCGGCCCCGCGCAGCCGCCCCACCCTGCCAGCAAACCCTGCTGGCTGCCGCTCAGCTGCGGCTTCCCTGCTGCACTCCATCAGCTCTGCAGAGACCGGTTGCAGCATCCGCTGGGCTGGGCTCCGCGCCACGTCCGCCGGGAACTGATGGCTGCACTCATCAGATTTCATCCCGGGCAGGACGCAGCAGCGCAGTGCCCGACGGGCCCTGCCAGCACCTGCCTCCGGGGGCTGCAGGGGAAATGCAGATGCTCTCCGCCCCCACCCACCCCCGCTGCTGCTGGCGCACTGGCTCAGCCTGGAAGTGGAGGCCACGCTGCCAAGTGCTCCTGTGGGGGCAGAGCCGGGCTCTGCAGCGGAGCCTGCACCATGGCAGAGACCCAG